AACATTTCACATTGTCTTAATTACTCCTTCTTTATAGTCTGTACCGTTTATTTTTTTTCATATTAAATGCCCAATCCAGTAATATTTTAGCCAATTCACCTTCAGACGTGTTTTCCAGAATTTGGTAATTTTTTAATTTACAAAACTCTTCAAATTGTCGCCATATGGATGCTTTGCTTTTCGTGGTATTAATTGACCGATTATCCTTCACCGCCTGGTCGATGTCTTGTAACTGTACAGCCCCAAAGCGACTCATTTTGGAATGAAATTTACGATATTCACTTAAACATCAAATCAATATTTTGACATATGTTAATTAATAAACTTAGCGACAAAACAATTAAAATCAACATTATTATCGAATTATCACTAGTAATACCACTAGAGTTCAAATTATTTCCGGAAATTTTTTCGAGCTCATGAATATTTTGAAAATTATCCCGAGTCGAAGACGAGGGATAATTTTCTAAAAATATTCATGAGGGAGAAAAAATTTCCGGATTTAATTTGACCTCGTGTGGTATTCGGTAAGAAAATTCCACACCAAATTGTGTTTAAATAATTAAAATTTATTTTTTGATTTAACTTGACCTCGACTTGATTATTTAGTTACCATGGCAACTAAGTCAACCCCAACCTAAAAGTTATTTCAGTTTTGAAGCTGTCAAGCAGCACGACGTAAAAAAATGTGAAATTGTCTGCTGTAATGATCAATCATCGTGCAATGACTTATTTACCCGCATTATTAGAGGATTGTGGCTCCTACTTGAAGAAAGAAAATTTGTTTTGAATTGTTCACGAATATTTGCATCTTAACTATTCAAAACTCAAAGTGCTAAATGGGAAAAAAGGTGAATAGAATAGTGTCTAAATATTATTTATATATTTCATTAGACATAGACATTTAATTTATTTCAAGTCCTGCATTTTCTCCATTAAGAAGAAAGGAGGTGTCCAACGAATATAGAAAACATCTAAACTTTGTAATGGAAATGTATCAAAATTATCATGTAAACAAATAAAAACCAGATTGTCAAAAAAATATTCTGTCATTATAAACGTCAAAAAATTTCCAGTATAAAGCTTAATTTTCATGTATCCGTTTGTCCGTCAGTCCGTTCATCCGGGAGCGCTCTTATTGGTCCAATTATAATTCGAAAATTATGACATTTTATCGGTCCGTCAAGTTTCAACTTCGTACGTCTGACAGAGAAAGGTTAAATAATTTTAACTCATCTGTCACTACACATCTGTTTTTGACGCCTAACGTTATTTTAAGATAATTTATTTTCAAATATTTTTATATTTTTTCAATAAGATTGTAAAACGGAAATATTACGTTCGTTATGTGAATAATGTTTTACTGTTAAGTTTTTATTTAATAAGAATAACAGAAAAAAAGAAAGGACAAACAAAAAAAAATTAAAACTAGAACTAAAAGGACCTGCTTTTTTAAAACTATACATTTTAATGTATATTAGGGCTAGTATATTCTTTTTATAAGGTATATTTACCTACCTTTAAATTTATTAGACAGCTAACTGTTAAAGTTACAATTGTTGACATAATTGTAACTATGACAATTAAGCATTAGGTAAATTTAGTAAGTGAATATACTGACACTTAATTTCTATTTGTCGCAAAATCAATCCGTTAAACGTCATTAAAAAACGTATGCATGAAAATTAGAACATTTCTTATCGGACGATTTTATTGAAAAACTGACATACGGATGACGGACAAACGGATACGTAAAAATTAAGCTTAATTCGCTGTTGGGTACCCACGAGGAAAAAATTTCCACTAAAATTCAACCGTTGCCATGGTGATCTATCAAAAATACACGTTTTGATTGGTTAAAAATTACAGGTGTGGAATTTTCGCTGTAATTCGCTGTAGGTTCCCTCAACAACAATGCCTCAACCATGCCCTGTGCACTCGCCTTAAACAAACAAAATCCACATTTTTGTCTAGTCGACTTTGGTTTTAGTTTACACTCGAGTTGCATGTGGCAGGAGCGGCGGTTAATCTTGACGGTTGCTTGGTAACGAAATCAACAAACTTCAGTTTGATAAATTTTGTAAAGTTTTGTAAATTCATATTGTGTTTATTTGGTTTGTTCTGTACGCTTAAAAACTTTTATAATTGCGATTTATCGTTATCTGTGTACTCTATTTTTTATATATTGCTACATTATTTGAACATTAACATGGTGTTGTGCTGTGCTGTGGGCTGCTCTAACAGTCAAGTTATGATGCATACTTTTCACAATGATGACAAGGTTTTATTGTATTATTCAATTATAACTATTTTATTAAAACAAGGTACTTACACAAATGTGGTACATAATATTATTACTTTATACTGATTTGTGTTCTTTAATAAGATAAAATTCACTTGAATACATTATTATATTGTTAATTGGTTTAGTTTAGTAAATACCTTGAATAATTTAAAATATAATACATTTATTTTTGCTTTTCAAATAAACAATTTAAATAAACTATCAGGCCTTTTATTTTTTACTATTTTGACTGTCAAAATTTGACAGGATAACCTAAATTAAAACCATAACCTAAAACCAATAAATGTCAGGCGGGTACACTAGCGGCATAGCGGGCCGAGTGTGCGTAACAAGGAGCGTCAAATATGTGACAGTGGCGTATCTATATGATTTATTATCTATGGCCTCAACAATGTCCCAACAATACAGAGAACTGTCAAAAAAAAAATCGATGATAATTTTACCACTTGTTATATTATGGGTGTAAATAATGTACAGTATGTTATTTCCACCATAATAATGTTTTGATTGATTAAAACATATACACATCATGTGTGACACATGACCGAATTTAAAATTTTCTATTGGTTTTTAGAAACGTCAAAAAATAATCACAAAAATCTAATACTTTTATTGTTGTTATTATTTAGCATGTTCATTAAATGAATGTAAGACAAACCAATGTTAGTAGGTACAGTGGGGAACAGGGAATTTTATACGACTTATCATCCCGTTGACATCAAAATCTAAACTTCCTTTATGGACAACTAACCTCACTTTCACTTTTGTCATCTTGACAGCGAAAGCAAAAATGATGATTATTGCACAATCCACACAAGGTCTGTTGTATCTAGTACTAAAAATACTAAAAATCACAGCAACACTGCACAGAGTTTAACGGCGGCCATTTTTGTTGTTTACAATTCTTGTGCTTTGTGTTTATGCTGTTTAATAATAGTTTTAAACGTTGTGTTTCTTACAGAGGAACTTGTAAGCCTCAAATGAGGCCTTAAAGTGCCAAGGACAACCATTTTACTCCTCTTTTATAAAAAATAAACCTTATTTTATTAGGGCTGTCAAATGTCAATTTGAAGGTTAATTTGTGGGTTATAAATTGACCATAAAATTGACATTTGACAGTTTGATGACAGCCCTGATAGAATAAGGTTTATTTTTTACAAAAGCCTTAAGGCTTCATTTGAAGCTTACAAGTGCCACTGTAAGAAACACAACGTTTAAAATGATTGGCCTATGGAAACAATCTACTTGCGAGTGTCTGCAGGGTCTCTTAAGATGAATTAGTCAAAAAAGACTAATTGTCATAGCGAAAAAGCAGCCACTAATAACTGTAGTCAGCATCAATTTGTATCCTGGATATTTAACAGTTAATTTAATCCAAAAATGTCGTCAAAAGTTATAAAAGTCCAACAGTTTTTCTAGATCTTAAAGACTGCTTTATTATATATTAAAATTTAATTATTAAAATTTATTTAATTAATTATATTTAATATAAAGGATATTCTATAGAACATTTTTAAATGGAGATACTACCTCAAAATAATAACAAATTATTATGCTTTATTATATATTAAAATTTAATTATTAAAATTTATTTAATTAATTATATTTAATATAAAGGATATTCTATAGAACATTTTTAAATGGAGATACTACCTCAAAATAAAAACAAATTATTTGCATTTTAAAAGTTATTTAGGTAATTAACTTATTTTGACAAAGTTAAAAATGTTATTTTTTATTAAATAAATTTCAGAGCAATTTGTAAAAATGGCGAATGCGCCGGGATATTTTATTTATTTTTTATTATTAAGTAGGTACACAAAATTTGGTGGGTTGTAAAGTTAATAAATTTGCTTTACAGAACAGATTTTTTTTAAAAGCAGGACAATTGCCCAAAAATCAGAAGAAATGTTTTATTTGTTTTAGAAATGAACCCTACTAAATTATAAACAGGTTCTACAAATGAAGCATGGTATTCCCAAAGGGTCTAAGTGGTAAAATATTATATTATCATTTAAAAATAGTCCATGCAGAATAACTATTTTAACTCCATATTATTTTTGTAATTATTTTTTTTACTTTTTTAAAGATGGCTCTGCCTGGACATTTATGCACCATATTTGATTTTAATTAATTAATCACAATTTTATTATTAGACCCTTTGGAAATACCACGCTTCAAATATAATATAAAAAAGAAAACTTACTAATCGTTTTTTAAGAAAAATATAGATAGTTGGATGTAAAGATTTTTTATCTACGCCAGTGAGGTAAGAACTTCTTATCCCACTCATGTTGAGTGAAGAAGTTCATTAACGCACGCGTTTTTCTTATCTCACTGCTTTTCAACCAATCAAATAAAGTCAAAATGTCAAAATCTATTTAAATTTAATGTAACAATACAGCTTAATTATGTATTATAAATATTATTAACACAATCTTTACAGTGTTCCAAATGAATCATTGTATAGTCAATTCCATATTAAATGGAAAATTGACTATATCTCAAAAACTGTTTTACTTTTTTAACTTTTTCGGATTCAGGGGACAATTTTACATAAGAATTGGCTGTTAAATTTTGGGATACCATGGTTAACCATGGTACAAGTGAAAAAGCAGCCACTAATAACTATTTAATTAGTCATTTTTGACTAATTCATTTTAAGAGTATACTTAGGTATATTTATTTTTTACAGCAAGAAGAAATGTGGATATCCAGCGAAGACCTTCGCACAGACGGAAGTAGCGATGAAGAAGCAACCGGAAAAATCAAATCCAACAAAAAATCCTCGAAACAGTTAAAAAACGAAAAGTTGCTTCGTAAAGAAGTGCTCACCAAAACCACGCCGCCGTCCATAGACTCTTTTTCGGAAGTCGAGGATAAAGACGTCATTCTTCGCAGAAGAAAAAGCAGCATGAAACCGCTGATGGAAGAGGGCGAGACGCTGCCGAATTACATGGAACAGCTGAAGATGACGCCACCAGGTGGCGCCGTTGCCAGTTCTAGTGCATGCGGAACGAGCGAAAGTGACGTGGAGGCGCTTTATTTGGAGAGCAAATGGCGCCCCAAGCGTGGAAGCTTGAAACTGCCGAATCTGGTCGAGGGTATGTCGGTAGAAGTGTAATTTTGGACTTTGAGTTTAGAGTTGAGAGCTGGAGCGTAAGTCTGAATGTTGGTGCCTTAGGTGCACTTTTTTAAAATTTGGCAGATTATTATTTTTTGTGAATTTAAATCAGATGTACTATGCTCCACACCTCAAAGTCCCACCACGTGACCACGTACGAAACGCAGTCTTTTGAAAATTTGGCATTTAAGGCTTTTCAGGTTATGTATCTGTCAAAGTATAGTCAACGAAAGAAATAATATTATGTTTAGGCGTTAAAAATGTATAAATCTTTACAACATTTCAATAACAATGGATGGTTTAAGAATTTAAGAATATAAATACTGCATTTAATGAAATTCTAAAGTGTATGGTGCCAAATAAGTAATATTTTTGTGCATTTGGTCTAAATATTTGGTTTTCTCCATAAAATAATTTTAACTAAACAGCATTTATTAAAAAAAATCTAACTTCTCTATTATGGAATAAGAATATCTGTATTAAAGGTAGGTTAATATATTATAACAAAAATATCATCTAATTTTGTAATTTTAAGGCTAGAAAAATTTATTTTGACCAAAATAAATAAGTATTTTGGATTATTTAAAAGACAGTATAATATGGTATTTAAAAATATGGTAGTTTTTCTTATCCCGCTTAAAGTGTACCTACATAAAGCTTTGTCAATACAAATAGTTAAAAAGCTTTGACTGAATTTGATCTACATCGAAAAATCATTATAACTTTAATATTTTAATAAATCACATGTCATGGGAGTATTAAATATTTTCACATTGCAAGTTTCTCTAAAAATTGTTTGTTTTCTTATAATCTAACTTAAAGTAGGTATGCCGAGAGGTATGCACAAGTTTTGTCGTTAGAAGTATAAAAGCTTCAATTTAATTTGAACCATATTCAACAATTATTTAGTATACCTATATTTATTTATGACCATATTAACCCACTCTTCCAAATAATCCACTCATTTATTTTGGTCAAAATAGATTTTTCTAAGCTTAAAATACAAAATTTGATGATATTTTTTGTTCTAATACATTAACCTACCTTTGATACAGATATTCTTATTTCATAATAGAGAAGTTAGATTTTTTTAAATAAATGCTGTTTAGTTAAAACTATTTTATGGAGAAATGTAGACCCAATGCACAAAAATATCACTTATATTGCACCTTACACTTTGGAATTTCATTAAATGCAGTATTTATGTTCCTAAATTCTTAAACCAACCATTGTTATTGTGATACTATAAAGATTTATTAACTTTTAACGCTTAAACATAAGCGGTAACACTATAAATACTATTTCTTTCATTGACTATACTTTGACAGATACATAACCTGAAAAGCCTTAAATGCCAAATTTTCAAAAGACTGCGTTCCGTACGTGGTCACGTGGTGGGACTTTGAGGTGTGGAGCATGGTACTTGCGCTCCTATTTCTATATACAGGGTGGCTCTTTTAACCTGAAACTTTAAAATATCTCAGTAAATAGACATTTTACAAAAAAAATAAATTAAAATCAAATGATTCGAGGGGGGTAAAAATTTCTCAAGTGGGCCACCCAAAAACCCTTCAGTCAAATTTTTTGTTCAAAATATATTTTTTGGGTAAAGTTTAAGCACCTCCACCGATTTGCCCAAAAATTTGTCTAAAAAATTTTTTTTTGTCTCAAACATTAATGAACTAAGTTTTAAGACACTTTTTTTTTATAAATTAATATCTCCTAAAGTAATGCATTGATTTTTAAAATTAAATCACCAATTAATTTAGATTTTAAAGTAGTTTCGATAAAAAAAATTTATAACCTTTAAAATTTGCATGTTTATATATTTTTTAGGTTAATATTTATGAAAAATTGTAAAAAATTGTGTTCTTCATCGAAATTTGTAACGAAAAAAATAGTGTATATAAAAGATACCTTATTAAATAGATTTGCGTTTAGAAAAAAAATGAATCTCTTCTAGGAATGGAGATATAAAAACATTTGTAAGGCGGAGCGCGATAAAACGGGTCGCCGCGACGACCCGCGCGGAGCGCGCCCATTTTGTTTGATGCGTAGGTATGTTAGATTTAATTAACTCAACAAAATCTAGACACAAAACCAAAAGGCGATATTTGACAACTGTCAAAAACGTTTAATACTTAATATGTAGTGGGCTTTGACGTCCTAAACTTAAACCCTCGAACTGTCATTTATTCGTCAAAATATAATTTGCTGGGTAACAGTGTTGTTGTAAAGTCGTTATTGATAAGTGTTTAATTATTAAAATACAATTGTTCAATTAAGTTTTTGGTAAATAATTATTTAAGGAAGAAAAAGGGTAAGTTATTTCTGTAAAATAACAGCTTAAATAACAATTCTTAAATACATTTATTTCGGTTCCTAGGATATATAATTTTTTCCGCAAACGTCAAAAAATGTCAACTTTGTTAACTTCAATTCATGATGTCAAAGTTTGATTTCACAGACGGCGTATGGTTGCCCATAGCAGCGTAGAAAATAGTATATTATGTATCAAGTTTTATAAACGCCATTTTAGTTACGAGTTTAATTAAGCACGAGCGAAGCTTGCGAGCGAGTGTTTAATAAAAACGAGTGTCTAGAGAAGTTTATAAACGAGTTGCATACTATACTTTATCTACGACGAACACAAAACAGAATTTAAAGCCAATTTTATTTGTTAAAATTTTGACATCTGTCAACTGTCACCCGAATTTAACCTCACTTTTTCCCAATTTATAATAAAGCTTACTTCAGCCCGTGGCGTAAAATGTCGAAAAGCCACTGTTGTTAACTTCAGCCCGTCAATAAAACGCCATAAAGTCACAGCTCGTCAATGTAGGAGTAGATAAAAGTACTTTTTTGTACGTTCACGGGCGTAGAAAAAAGTACTTTTTTGTACGCTCACGGGCGTAGAAAAAAGTACTTTTTTGTACGCTCACGGGCGTACAAAAAAGTGAAATTATATAAATTTAAAAGAGAAAGGAGGATTTTTCTGAAAATTTTAGTTTTGTTATTCAAGATGCAATTCAGTCTTTTCATTGGTCAAACAACCAAGTTACGATACATCCCTATGTAATTTATTACAAAGAAAATAATGAAACCCTTCATCACAATTTCGTAATTATTTCGGAAAGTATGAAACACGATTCAACGGCAGTGAATTTATTCAATAAAAAGATGCTGAATTATTTAAAGGAAGTTCATGGGGAAAAAAATGTAAAAAAGTTGTTCTTTTTTTCTGATGGTTCCGGTTCCCAATATAAAAATAAGTTCAATTTTCTCAATCTTGTATTTCTAATGAAATCTACTGGTATCAATGTCGAATGGAATTTTTCTGCAACATCCCACGGAAAAAGTGCCTGTGACGGTATTGGCGCGACAGTAAAAAGAAATGCTTATCGTGTTAGTTTGCAACGACCTGAATATAATCAAATTTTAACGCCCAAGATTTTTTATAATTGGGCAATTAATTTTTTTGAGAAAGTTTCTTTTGATTTTTGCACAGAAAACGAACACGATCGGGAGCATAAAGCTTTAACTTCACGTTATAAGAAAGCATTTACAATAAAAAATACGCGCCAGTATCATTGCTTTAAACCAAGTGAAGACGGCAAACATATCATGTGCAGAAAAATTTCATCGTCCAATGAATATAAAACATGTGCAATCAGGAAGTAAATACTTGTGCAAGTAAACTAATGTATATGCAAAAAAAAAATTATTAATAATAATTAACAAATAAAGAGTTTTTTTTAATAAACACGTTTGTTTTTTCGATTTTTGAATAACAACGAACTTCGAAGCTTGAAGATAACGCGCTCCGCGCGACTACCCGTTTTATCGCGCTTGCCAGTGCAGCGCGCCGCCTTACAAATGTTTTTATATCTCCATTTCTAGAAGAGATTCATTTTTTTTCTAAACGCAAATCTATTTAATAAGGTTTCTTTTATATACACTATTTTTTTCGTTACAAATTTCGATGAAGAACACAATTTTTTACAATTTTTCATAAATATTAACCTAAAAAATATATAAACATGCAAATTTTGAAGGTTATAAATTTTTTTTATCGAAACTACGTTAAAATCTGAATTAATTGGTGATTTAATTTTAAAAATCAATGCATTACTTTAGGAGATATTAATTTTTAAAAAAAAAGTGTCTTAAAACTTAGTTAATTAATGTTTGAGACAAAAAAAAATTTTTTAGACAAATTTTTGGGCAAATCGGTGGAGGTGCTTAAACTTTACCCAAAAAATATATTTGGAACAAAAAATTTGACTGAAGGGTTTTTGGGTGGCCCACTTGAGAAATTTTTACCCAGGGGGGAAATAAATTAGTACCAAAATTATTCCCCATACTCTAATCCTTTTAGGGAGGGCATGGGGTAACTTACAAATTTTTTATTACAGATTCAGATCATTCGACTAAAAATAGGTAATTTTGTTTAAAACATTTTTTCATATTTGTAAAAGATGGCGCTTTAATAACAATTTTGTTCGAATTCTCCTGTGTATACTATTCTGCAATAATTTTTCAATAAAAATATAATTGGAATGATCTTATTAAATTAAATCTGATTTTTTTTTTTGATAAAGTGCGATTTTTTTTACTAATATCTAAAGTTTCCTAAGGTTAAAGTTTTATACAATATTTTATCTATTTTGGTTTCATAATGACTTCATTATAACACCGCTTTTGGTTCTTTAATGAGGTACTTTATTCCACCCAAAATTTTGATTTTATAGGTTGGCTACTGGTAAAATACAATTTTGAATACCTATAGGTTATAATATTTTTATGATTTGTTTTCTAGTACTTACGAGACTTTTCGTGCAATAAATTTTGTTTAACACCAAAGAAAATCCTTTTTTCTTCTTTAACAGCCGCTTATTGTAAATACTTATTGTAAATTAACGACGCCATAGCGAAAGAATGTGATAATGTTTGAAACTTCAACTTTCAAACTTCAAACTGAGATACCAACTATGTAAAGTAAAATTCGACCAAATTAAATATAAGGTATAAAATTAATTTGTTTTATGAAATGTTTGCAAAATAGATAAAATAGCATAAAGAACTCATGTCATAAGACCTTTTGTCGCACTTGTCCATTATAAAACTCGCTCCTTCGTCGCTCGTTTTATAAATTGTCCGCGTGCGACAAAATGACGTCTTATGACATTAGTTCTTTAATATACTATAATTTAATTAAGATTAATCAGTTTTACATTTAAATCTCATGTAATTTTTTTTATTCTTGTTTATTCGAAAAAGAGTCCGGCTCCAAGGCGATATTGGCCACAACTAAAATAAATTTTATTTAGTTCAAAGATTCATTTATAAACAAAAATACCTGTTTTCGTTGAGCAGTTAGGTATTCATAATGGATTTTTTAACAGAGGAAGAAAAAATAGAAATGGAGAAGCATGATGCTGTTAATATCTACAATCAGCTCGAATCATTTAATTTTTGTTTTAAACATTTTTTCGTTACATGCCTATTTACTGAGATATTTCAAGTTTAGAGTTAGAAGACTCACACTGTACATAACCTTTTATTTCAGTCTTAAAATGCAGTAAATCATTGGATAAAATTGTAACCACAAAAATAGTAAACTAGAAATTATAAGATTATATATTTAAAGAAACAGTATTCGTTGTATAAAAAACACGTGTTAGAGTTTTATTTTTCCTTTTTATATCCTTAAAGCTGATCCTTTTCTAAGGTTACAACGAGTTTGGTTTATCATCATTCTACAATGATATAATGATAAACTTACACAGCCTTCAGTCAACACCTATACTAGATGCAGAAGATTGCGAAGAATTAGAGGGAATAGAAAAAATGGAAGAATCAATCGAACAGCGAAACATTGAAAAATCCAAAGAGTTAGTACAAAAATTAGAGGACGAAATTGCAGAAACCATAAAAATGTATAAGGTATTGTCTTATTTATAACAATTAAATTTATTATTAAAAAATTATTTGAAAGTTTGAAAGAGACGAAAGGCTTAAAATCCAAAAAGATATGTGCAAGGCTATATCGGAAAACGATATTCTGGATAGGCAGTCACAAACTTTTTTGGCGCTATGCAAATTTCAAGAGGAAGATTTGCAAGAAAACGAAGGTAAATTTTGCATTCTCAATTGTATAATACACTACAAAGGAGGTAAGTAGATTTTACCAGTCGAAGACGAGTTTGCGCCCGAGCGTGGGAGGGCTGGCAATAGAGCCGACACTGGTCAAAACTTGCCTAGTGCGTTGTGTATAACGTTTTATCTGCTCACACAGCTAGGTTTCATTTAGTAGAAATACTTTTATCTGAAATCGGCAGTAAAGTAGTCAACAATCGGCAGTAAAGTAGAACTTACGAGTATTGTATGCAACCCATTATACATTTTAAGATGTGTCTACTGCTCCTCAGCAGCAACTAAATAATATTTTTTTAAAACCGTCGCGGAGGTCGTAGACCCTAATATGCACCTCGGCATTAAAGTCATTTTTTATCACTCACTTGGTTATTTGGCTCGGCTTTCGCCTCGGCAAATAATTTCCACATTCGTGATAAAAAATACGACTTTACTGCCTTGATACATAAACAACTTTGTTTTTATCAATTTATTTTGACACTGACATTAAGTAATTTTTGACATTAAAGGATGTTACCTATAGGTATAGACTATAGTCTTCTATGATTTTAGACTATAGTCTTCTATGATTTTGTCGTTATTAAGACGTTACAACAACGCGTTGTTTACCCATGAGAGGTAAGTAGCTCTCTTAACTAGCCTAGTTAACATAGTGGGAGCAGATAAAATAATTTATGCCTAAATTAAGTTTAATTTACATAATATGTAGATGACAAAATGAACCATGAAGATGGTGATAAAGAAACAAACAAAGCTAAATCTGATGCTGATAATAGGTTTATTCAAAAAAATATTGAGGTACGTTACACTGTTCTTTCCTATCATTTTGCCGAGTTTGGGTTTTGCGCACAGTGTGTTATAACAGGCGGTAAAATATTGATCAAACTTTATTTAAGCTGGCAAAACACGGCTCCATGGCAAATTTATCTTTAACTGATGAAGAAAAATCGCAATTGGAAAGTCTACTGATTAATATTGGTAAGAAACTTTTATTAAAAATTATTGTAGATGTAGATGTACAATTGGCGTCTCCGAAATGTGAACGATTTTTTGTTGTCATGGATTTTTTTCATAAAATTTATTCGTTCATTCCTGGCTTCGGCCAGTGGTGTTACATATAGAAGGGAGAATACTAAGAATAAGAACAATATCCTAAATCGTTCTATTTTTTTAATAATATTTTAACAAACAATAATATAAACAATATAACAAATAAATTAACTTTAATTTGGTTTTATACAACAATATAAATTAACAAGTAGGTAAATACACAATAAAAATAACATAACTAAATTAACATATTGCTCAAGAAAATTGGTTTTTAAGTGAAGTAGCTGCAGATTTAAATGTCAGTAAAAGCTGCATATTTTATATCAAAAAACGTTGGCAAAAACAACAAAGATTGAGAAGACCTATCAGGCAAGGTGTAGGTAAAATCTCCAACGAAAATGAAGACAATGCTCTTGTCGCACTTATTAGGCAAAATCCTTTCAATAGCGCATTTAAGGCCCGAGAAGATACACAATTTCCAGGATCTCTTCGAACAGCTCAAAAAAGATTGAAACAAGCTGGCTTAAAAAACTGTGCTGCTAAGCTATTTTAATACTTAATTGCAGAGCCATTAGCTGCCACAACCCTTTGCAACCTTCTTGGCATGGACATTATTAGCTCACGCATGTCGTATGGATCAGCAAGCTCATCCCAAGAATTTTCAACAGCACTCCATAGTTCATCTCGGTTTGCTGGCCTAAAGTCCCGTTGATATATATTTTTAACTTTAAAACCCCACACGTTTTCAATGGGGTTTAAGTCAGGGCTTCTAGCTGGCCATGGCAAAACAGTTATGTGGTTGTTGTTTACCCACTCTGTAACCACGCGAGCTGTGTGAACTGGTGCATTGTCCTGTAATATAATATTTATTAGAATCGTTTTTGAATACTATTCAGTTTTCTTACATGTTGAAATATAAAGTTTTCTGGAAACACATGTCTAACTGAAGGTAGCATAACGTTGTCCAAAATCCTGGTATAGTGCTCAGCCGTTAATCTACCATCAATTTCCCAACATACTCCCGGACCATGGATGCTTATCCACGCCCAAACATTTATGGAAAAGCGTCCACTATTTGAGGTTTTTAATGTATAGTTCTCCTCAAATCTTGCGTTTCTTGGACGATATACACGCAGCCTTCCATTATTGCAAGATTGGAACGTTTTTTCATCCGAAAATATAACATTATTCCAAAAATCTTCTCCATAATTTAAATAGTCATTGGCGAACTGGACTCTCCTGCGCTTATTTTCTTCAGTTAAAAAAACCTTATGAGCAGCAGCACAGTTTTTTAAACCAGCTTGTTTCAATCTTTTTTGAGCTGTTCGAAGAGATCCTGGAAATTGTATATCTTCTCGGGCCTTAACTGCGCTATTGAAAGGATTTTGCCTAATATGTGCGACAAGAGCATTGTCTTCATTTTCGTTGGAGATTTTTCCTACACCTTGCCTGATAGGTCTTCTTAATCTTTGTTGTTCTTGCCAATGTTTTTTGATATAAAATATGCAGCTTTTACTGACATTTAAATCTGCAGCTACTTCACTTAAAGACCAATTTTCTTCTAATTTGGCTATTGCCCTGGACCTCTGAGCCTCGGTTAAGTGGGGTGGCATTTTTAATATTGCAATTGACAACTATTATCAAATTTGACAACTACCGACGACACTGATGCAAAGCCCATATTACACGATTAAATTTTGCCGTTCACATTTCGGGGACGCCAATTGTACCTATGTCTATTAGGGTGTCCCTTATTTTTATTTTATTTACGCATACCCTCTAATTATATTTATTACGTGTTTATATACTCCCAGTAAAAATTTCACCTCATTCTATAAACGGGAGCCGTGCCGACTTGCATCTGAACCCTCCGTTAGCCAACGTTAGGCGCGCGGTATTTTGTAACACGGTTGGTCGCGAGGTCTTCGATCGTAAGTCATTTTGTGTTTGTTATTATGTGACCCTTATATTATAAATTATTGACAAATGTTAAAATATAGTTTTATTTATGCGTATACTTTAATGGCTAGTTACCCAGAACTCTGAAATTGATAAACTTAATGGGTTTTACTCTAAATAACTAAAAGAGTCTATTGTGAGAGATGACTACCGAAAACTTATTGAACTGTCTAAAATATTTTTGGGAGGACATTTAGAAAAGAAATGCTTATAAAAAGCTGAAATTTCATATAACAGTATATTTTAGCAATACTAATTAGTATATTAATATATTTAAAGCGCGTATTACAGCCGGCAATTCTTCTTGCAGCAATTTTTCTTGCCATCTAGTTTTCAAGGCCGTCTTGCATGTTGTTTTACAGCCGGCAATGGCAAGAAAACTTGCTGTTTATTACCGTGCTACCAACCGAAGAAAATTATAAGGTAAGTGCGGGTAATAAGGCCCAGCAGGTAATAAGGCCCGGCAGCCATTTTACCTTCATTTTTTAAATTATAATACTGGGGCTGCCATCTTATGATTTTACTAGGTAATATTTGATATTCGATAGAGTTCCGCCTTAATAAGATGTCGTTTGCTGATAGTAAATACAACAAGTGTTTCGACAACAAGTTTCTTTCGTGAAATTATAAAAATTGTGGTATTTTCCTAGAGCTGTGCCTAAAAAGCGTTTATTCAATTGCTGCGCCATTACAGGTATGTATCAATACACATATTACCAATGTTTTCCTAGAAAATGATTGGTTTTGTACTATGCATGTCTGAGTTATATCCTTAAAACAAGGAGCATTACAAAGCAGGCAATAAGGCCCACCAAATAATGAAACTGGGAAGAAACCCCAAAAGGCCAGCGGCTCGGCAACAAAATGCAAGAAGAAAGCGAAGATCAGTCAAACGAAGGCCACTGTAGAACCATCGACCTCGACAGAAAGCGCAGACGCCAACCCCGAGCAAGATTGGTTCTGCAAGCTTTGTGAACTGGATTTTAAGGCTGATATGCGTCAGTGTGCCATGTGCCTCACCTGGGTTCCTGAAGAATGTGTCGGACTGACGCCTGAGGATGAAGATGTGTTTATTTGTCCCAAATGTGCACCCTGAATGGATGGGCTTTATTATCTGTTGAGCATGAAATAAGGCCCATTAACAAGTTTTTTAAAAACCTAAGAATTTTTCTTTTTGTATATTTTATTTGAGTTTATAAATGTTACAGTATATAGTTTAAAGTTAATATATGTTTATGAAATAAAAAAATTAAAAAATGTGCACGTTTTCTTTGTTTTTTTAATATAATGCGTTAGGTGGGCCTTATTACCCGCACTTACCTTACGATTTTGTAAACACTAAGTTTATTTGGTATTTAGTAGAGATATTTAAAAATTAATGAGTGAAATGGATACTAGAACTTTGAACACAATGCCAATCATAAAACAAATAACCTTAAACTGTTTAAGTCAAACAGCGTCTCTCTAGGGAATTTGTAGTAGGGTTGGTAACATAAAAGTTACCAGATTTCACCCCAGAATTGCCGTAAAACGGCAATAAAAATCCATCCGGACCGATTTTCGGCAATTGCAAGAGATTCGTCGAAATGTATCTACCGCGCATGCCTACGGCAATTTTCATTGCAATTGCCGAAAGAATTGCCGGCTGTAATACGGCTTTAAGGAATAAAATCAACTAAATTAGTGAAACAAATGATAGAAACAAAAGCAATAATATTAATTAGTAATCATATTTAATAAAATCATTAGAAAAATAAAGTCATGAAGTATATCTTCTTTTTAAAGTGTTTCGTGTTACAAAATACCGCGCGCGCCTAACGTTGGCTAACGGAGGGTTCAGATGCAAGTCGGCACGGGTTCCCGTTTATAGAATGAGCTGAAATTTTTACTGGGAGTATATAAACAAGTAATAAATATAATTAGAGGGTATGCGTAAAAAAAAATAAAAATAAGGGACACCATAATGTCTATATACTATGAGTATAGTCAGGGCCGGTTTATCAATGTCCAGATAAGTGTCTTAACTGGTAAATAAAATTAAAGTGGTAACTAAACTGTTTATCAATATGCAACTAACGTTTACTAAGAACTTAAATTAAGATAACTGGAAGTAAATTTAACTGGAAGATGCAATTGCATCCTCCACTTAAGTGTCATGCATAGTGAATTAACTAGCAGTTATCGCGGTTTATAGGTTATATTTGTGTTTGTGTAGTGTTGTTTTTGAAATGAATATTAGAGATTTTTTGAAAGTCACGACGATGAAGAAATTGTTGAGTTTGTGACTTATACAGTTTTAGATCGCGAAAAACATTTTCAAAATTATAACGATTTGTTTAGATATCCGCTGCAGAAGCAAATATAGAAGAGGAAATAGAAACTTTTACGAAGTGACTAGGTGCACGTTAGAGGGCCTACAATTTATTTTTTACGGGCACGCTGGTGACGTAATAGATAAAAAACGTCATCACTGTCGTGCCGCTTAATTTAAAATTGGCGGCACGACAATAATATAATTATTATATTATAATAATAATAAATTGTTCCTGTATACATGTTTACAGAGACTCTTAGATTTTATTCGTGTAAATTTTGTAATCGAACTTACAAAAATAGGAAGAAAAATGTAGAACTTGTAAGCTCCAAAGCTTTGTTTTCAAGATACAGGGTATTAATAGTTAATAAAAAAATATGGTTCTGTCACAAGTTTAATATTATATTTAATATTTTTTCAGGGCAAATAAACACATTTTTAATGATTAAACAAGATAGAGAAAAAATGCAGGAGACAAAGTTGTATTTTTTAGTTGCTTGAACCAAAAATCATATTGTCGAAGTAAGACAACTAGCGGAGATTTTTTATCACAAAAAAGTGGAATTTTGATTGTGACTTCTTTGTTTTTATATAAACAAAAAAGTTACAACCAAAAACGCTACTGTTTTATCATAGAAATTCCGCGGATTTATGG